CAGTCTCTATTTCGGGAGACTTCATTTGTTTGTTTTTTTTCCTCCTTAAGTTGCTTCTCTGAATTTCCTTTCCAGGTTGATGCGATAAAGGAAAAGGTGAAAGTCGAATCCATTTTCTAATCATTCTTTTTGACCCCTCTCCCCTGTCCTGTAGTTTGGAGGAGTAAAATTAGCAGAGACTGTGCCCTTCCCCCCCCCCCCCTATGTCACTTTGCTGCTTCTGAATGTAAACTCCACATCTCCACTTGACCACCTACCAACCCATAAGACTCCAGAGCGGTGCTCTTCATATCAATCCCCCAGGACTCGGCTATGTTTGCTGGTGTCAGTGACCACTCTGAATCACAGATTTTGACTTTGTGAAGAGTTGATGATTTGACCACTCTGAATCACAGATTTTGACTCGGTGAAGAGTTGGTGATCGAATTAGATGGAATAACAATCCAGTGTGTTTAAGACTTGACAGTACTATTACTCCTTGTCATTGCATAATTGCTGAAAGGATTCACCTACTGAGACATGACGTGTTTCTCAGAGATCACTGTAAACTGTTGTTTTTGTTGGTGGCATGTTGCTGTCAGGTACCCAGATTGGTTCAGGCATGTTGATATCTATTGTCCACTTTAGGGCAGCATGAAACAAACGGTAAACAACCCTGATGTACAAACGTTTAGGGTGATCTGGCAAACTAGCTGCCTGCTAAATCTGACTATGGCACCATGAGAACAGTGAGAGTAAACCAGCTGCAAGCCACAAAACCAAAACTGAACTACTGTGACATTCTCCAGAGCTGAGAGCAACTGCAGACTCGGGCTATAATTCTCTGTGGTTCCTCACTACAGAGAACCTCTTTTGCATATTTCTGTCAAATGTGCTCACAGCCTTTGTCCTCAAACACACTGAGCCAGCATGCCTGTCAACAGTCTGTAGGTGTGGGTGAAGAGCACCGCTCTGGAAAACTACCTCACCTCCTGTGGTCAGGTCCTTTTCTCACAGACTTGTAGATGAATTCTGATGTGAAACTGTCTTGTAACACCACTCAGCTGCAGTCTGCTGCTAGTCATTATCCTGACTTAGGTTAGGATCATTTCAGAAATGGTTTTACTCTGTAGACATTGTAAAGAGAGTTTCAAGGCCTTTGACAGGTGAATTATTAGTCATAACTTTATATCAGAAGAGGGTGGGAGCATGGTTAGGTGTATTTGCACTGTGGCGCAGTAGCATAGACTGCAGCTAAGACCTAATTTCAATAATACAAGAACCAGTGAGGCATTATTTTAATGAAGCGACCATTCTTTCAGAGATCTTTTATGTCTGTCTGTACTGTTTAATCTTAATGCTAAAGAAGAACTCGCATGCAAAAAACAAACGGTAAAAACAGGAATATTGAGAGGGGGTATTTTTCTATGTGTCTCTGAGTATTCTTTGCTACTGTAAAGTATGGTCTCTTCAATGCTAAACAACTTGAGTGTATTGCAGAAAATAACTGGTAGTTTGAGTATGTTCTTTGCGGGGGGAAAAAAGTTACATGACATGTAGAGCAATGAGCATGCATTTCCCCCCTCCCTTGGTAGCCTTATTAGCACACAGGACAGACTAGGGGACATCGTTGGCTGCGCCTGCTTCTGAGAACCTTGAACTGGCTGTATAAAACCATCCTCTCCACCCTCTTTCACTCTCCCTCCACTATGGCTCTCTGCCTCTCTCTTCTCTCTTTCTCATGCACTCAAGAAGAAAATAACTGAACTGCTGCTTCAGCATGTCTCTCAGCCCTTCTTTTCTGAAACCAAACAACAGCCTGTCTTTTCTTGAAACAACCTGCTTAAACAGACTGACTGGTAGTAGGAAAACAGACAGTGTGTAGAGAACTGAACCCAAAACTACCATAAGGGGGTGGGTGTGTGGTGGCTATCCTGTTACATGTCACTATTTTTGACTGATTTTTATCAGTGTTTAAGCTGCACACGATTGCAGCTGAGGAAAATATCTGAAGCTTCTTGCTGGCTGCTTTAATCTTTGAATGGTATTTAGCCCTATCCTTTGTCCTTTCCCTGTTGTCACCTGCCTCTGTGCTGCTTAGCAAATGCTAAAGCAACCTTTAGCAGGATAACGCTCAAGGCTGCTACCTGCTTCTTGTAGCCGTTTGCACACAGGCAACTTTGGCCGTGTGTGATGGCCGAGGGCATGTCTCTTATGCCAGTGCAATGTTAAAACTTGCAAAAACCCTGACAGCACTTCACATAGTTGGTGATTGGTTTTCAGTGTACAGTTACAACTGGAAATGGTAGAATAAGTGAATAGTTAAAGGCAATTACTTGATTATCAAAAGATAAATAGCCAACTATTTTGTTAATGTCATTTTAAATCAGAAATTCAGTTGAATATCTTTAGATTTTGCACTGTTGGTCAGACAAACCAAGTGTTTTAATGGAGTTAGAAACTGACATTCTTCATTATTTTTTATCTACAGATCATATAATACATTAATGGATAAAATAATCAGATTGATAAACAGTTGCAGCTGTTTTTCTTTGCACTGCACTCTGGCAGTGTGTGTAATTCACTACATGTTCAAAAAAAATACTCAACTCATGGTTATACTGTAAACCTATCATATAAAGGTTTATGAATGAGCATTTGCTTGAATACTACACTTGTTCCATGAATATCTGAGAGTGAAATGCTACTGCATAACTGTTTGTAGCTACAGCAAAGTTAGCACAAGCACAGGCAGGTGAAGTTTTGGCTTCAAGTTGACTTAACTGTATATTACTCTGTCTTGTTAGCACTAAGTAGAATTACCACTTTGTGGCCTCTTCCCAACCAGTCAAATTCACAGGTATGGGACAGAAGTGAGGTCATTGACCTTGACTTTTGACCACTAAAGTCTAATTAGTTCATCACTTAAAGTGGGCACTGGTCCAAATTTGAAGAAATTCCCTCAAGGTGTTCCTGAGATATCACGTTCACAAGAATGGGGGGAACAGACAACCCAAAATCATAATGCCTCCAGCCGCAGCTGTCACTGGCAGAGAAGCATGAAAATGTGCAGGTTTTGATATTTAGCAAATGGGGTGAAAAACATAAAATGCTGGTCTTAGTGCTTGTATTGTACTGGTGAAGGGTTGGTTCTCTACATACTCTACATTTCCAACATGCTAGCGTAGATGATTTGGGTGGCTGGATGGTGGGACCATTATTGTCTAGTAGCTGTTTGTCTTTGTCTCTCTTCCCAATCCCTAATGCTTTCCACACATATGTGGATGTTTACCTGATAGACTGCCGTAGCCAAGCTTGCTCAAGTGCCAGTATCCCTGTAGCTGTAGTGCCTCCTTTTGCCTTATAGAGGGCAAGGTCTGCCTCCCGCAGCCTGTTTTAATTTCAATCTGGACTGTATTCATCTTCATCTGTCAGGAATGGTCCCATCTGTCAGCCAGTGAAATAACCCAGAGGTCAGTTTTTACAAACCCGACATCTCAACCCTTGCTCTTCAAGAGCCCCATGACACACAATGCAGCTGAGGTCTGACACCATCACTACTGTTGTCGTCCACAGGTGGACAAGCTCGAAGCCTCCGAGTCTTTGAGGAAACAAGAGGAGCAGGCTACAGAGTCTCAACCAATCGTTTATGGTAAAAAAAAAAAAAAAAAGGCAACACGCAGATAATGATGGTCTTGCTGTAATGCAGTCTTCACCAGTTTTGAGGACATTTAATGGAAACCTGTTTAGCTTTGGTATTAAAATGCATCTCAGTGATCTGAGCACAAGTGGACAGCCAAGACACGGCACAGTTCACGCCTGTCTTATACTGTACACAAGGCAGAGCAGGGTGTCCAGAAGACCACTTGTCCTTGGATTTTGCTGCTGCTGTGACACTTTCATCTTAAATATCAAAAGGCCACAGGCACAATTATTGTGTCGGTCTGTTACCAGACAAGTGTCAGTAGTCTCCCTATTAATAAAACAAGAAGACCAGCAACAGATTTGTTCATGGATGTGAAATCTTTCACACTACATTAATGGATTTGAATTGGATGTTTCTCTCCATTTTTTCTTTTGTTGAGCATTGGCACACACCAACACAGACACCATGACCTGCACTGTTAACGTATATTCCCCTAACGTCCTTGTCGGAGATGCATCAGGACACATTAGTGTTTACACTACTAATGTCAAATGTGTCCCCAACAACCTCAGCAAGTGGTTTTAGTGATCAAATCACAATTCGTCTTGGTTGTTAACGCTTGTATTTAGTGCTGTCTGCTTGTGATCCGATTGCCCGGGACACATTTTAAAACCAGGTTTAAGCAGGAGCTTGGAGAATATTCTTGGCAGTGACCAAAGTTCTTTTGATGTTTCTGCTGCAGGCACACCCCAGCTCATGCTCACAGCGGGGCCCAACGTGGCTGTGCCTCCTCAGCAGGTCTATGGTTACGGTTACACAGCAGCACCAGGCTACGGCCAGCCACCACAGCCCAACTTCGGTTACAGCATGTGATCACCCAACAACCCTAACTCCCACCACAACTTCACCGAACCTCTTCCTTACATCTTCTCTCTTTGCGTTCCTCACCAGCTTCCCATGGTCTTCTACTCACAACAGGGGCCACAAGCAAGCAACAGCCCAGTCTCCTTTTGAGTATTATTATTTTTTTATGTTGTCCTGTTATAAAACATTTAACTGTATTGAAGGACTTTTATTTGTATTGTTTGAAAAGAAATTGGGCCGTGTTTCTTTGTATTTACACATTCCATATTTATGACTTGTTCAGAACTTTTTGTGTTGATGTTAATGTTCTGGTTTTGTTTTGTTTTTTATTGGTTTATTGTTTGCGCAGAAGTGGACTTGCTAAAGCTCAGCAATGAACCTTTGAAGTAGGTGGAGGAGCATTGGATTTTGCACTTGTGAAGAAATTAACATAGACAAGCTCTTACTTTTGATGTACTGAACATGTGAACAGCTTACATTTGTCTTGTTTGTCTGTATAATGCATTTCATCGTTGTATATTCTGAGGAGAAAAAGGTTACATAATATTTGAACATATATTGCCATTTCAATGGCTATAGCTAGCAGCACTAAGTATAATAGTATATTCTGCGCAGGCGTGTAGCTTTATGGAGTTTTAAATGCATACAGATGTGGGTCACTGTGTGAATGAGGGTGTGTTTGTGTGTGAGTGAGTGTGATCTGATGGTCTGAAGAAGTTTCAACGGCCTCTCAGCTTGTAACGGACTGGTAGTCCACCCTCCTAGATGTTAGTGCTCCTTCGTTGGCTCCATGTATTTAGGTGACCTCTTGTGCTGTGTACAGTGCTTGTGTGAGAGACTGTGTATGTGCAAGGACGGGACCACAGCTACCAAGCCCCCAGATCCCCTAACCGTACCGTGTGTGTGTATTTACTCTGAATCCTCATGCTGAGGTCCATGTATGCCAGGTGTTGTGGTGTTTCCCTCAGTCACCATTACCGTGTGTGTGTGTGTGTGTGTGTTTGGATTTTGTTTTTTGTTCACGTGTACAGACGTGAACATGATGGACTCAAAAATGTTTTGACAGAGACCCCACCCATCTGTCGTCGTCCACTCCCCTGTCCTATTTCCTCCAGTGTTAAAGTTAAGAAGGAGGCAGAAGACAGGCTGGTGGGACCTTGGGCATCTAAATGACAGCTTGATTAGATCCATGAACATTAGGTTATGTTTAGATGGTTATGATGAAGAAATTGACTCTCAGTACATCCAGTTCTTTGTCAAGAAAGGTCTGAAATAAGAGCTTGTATTTACCTTGATGTACTTAACTTCCTTACCTGCTTTGAGCTGTGTGTAGTGTCATCCTAACATCAGTTGAATTCCTTTTTGTTCTCATACATATTAATAATAAAGGGGATCTGTCAGTGATAAGTGGAAGAATATGACTTAACTGAAAGGGAAATACTAGCCTAAATAAAAAGTAAAAATTGTACAGAAGTCTCCTATGGAGTCAGTTTGTGCGAGAAACTAGAAATGTCTCAACAAATTGCTTTATTCTGGTCATTTTTCCCCCCCACACCCAGTGCTTCGACACAGAGCATCAACTACTAAAATGTGCACATTCCATTGATCGGCTGTTCGTAGAACAAAGTGCCAAAGAAATCTACTGGTACATTCTTATTTAGGTTAAACTTTAAACGTTTTTCGTTCTTTAATGAGATCCTGTAAAATGTGATGGAGTGGCTCAGAGTACGCTGGTCCGCACCTTCCGCTCCACTTCGCTGCAGTATTTTTCAGAGAGCCCTGTAGCCCTTCAGGTTGAAAGACACGTCACATTTATACAATTAGTATACATTCTCAGTGGAATGAGTGTATATTTTTCTACAGGACAGCCATTTTCTAAATATCAGCCACAGAAAAGGTTGGTTAACTTGCCCATACTTACTTCAGCTCCTTCAGTTTCTTCTCCTTGATTTCTTCGAGGCGCACACGTCTCTGCCGGGCTTCCTCGATCAGTCTGTCTGCTTCCTCAAAGGTTTCTCTGCGCTTGGCTATGGCTGAGAGTTCACGTTCCTTCATCTGCTGCCGGATGGCGTCTGAGTAATGGAGCGCTTTCTGACGCTGCTTCTCCTCCTCCTCCTTCTGTTTGATTATTGCTTCCTGTTGCACTCTGTGGAAAAAGGTCAAAATGGCGTGGAACATATATATTAATACACAGATACAGCTGAATGCATAGAAACAGAATTATTAAGGGATGAACATTCAAATCACTTACTACACTTGTAGGTAACTGGTATTTAAATATGAATATTATTTGATGATGTGAAAATTTGTTAAAATGAAGTTCTTACTTCAACACACTTTCAAACGTGGCCTTCTCCCGGCCAGCCTCAATCGACAGCAGTTTCTCTTTATGGTGAACCTGCTCCAACCGATACGCCTTCAGCATCGCTTGCTCCTGCGCTCTCTTTGCAGCCAGCTCTTTCTCTTTTCTCCTCCATTGTCTGTCTGCAATTTCTTGGTTCCTCCGAGCACGGAGCTCATCCTTCCAAATGCAGACACAACATTGTCATACAGAGTGCTTGTCCCATGAATCTTTGAAAATGTGACTGGCTTTTCAAAGTCAGCTGGTGGTTTTATTCCTGACCTGCTCTGCCTTGTAGTCTTTCGCTCTTTCTTGCCGGGCCCTTAGCCTTGCGATCTCCAACTCTTTCTCCTTCTTTATTCGTCTCTGCTCTGCTTCATATTCAGCCTCCCGCTCCTGCAGAAGTCATGAGATGTAAACAGCATTTTAATGATGAAACGAATCGGTGAATACCGACTGTCCTTGAACATAACTCCACAGGTATGAATTTTCCTTGTTACTGATTTGTCTAATAGTTTTTCTGTGTCTGGAGATATATTGTTTGTGTTCTCACCAGCTTTTTTTGGATGTATTCCATATCTCTCATGTCAGCCAGCTTCTCCTCCTCTCGCCTCTGCTCCTTGGCTCGCACAGTCTCAGCATTGATGCGCATGATCTCCTCCTGCAGATGCTGTAGCTCTTCCTTCTTCTTCTCCAGAGCCTAGAGGAAGACCACCAGTCACAGATTAAACCAAACTTGACTGCAAATGCGGTGTCATATCCCACTGAGAATATGTATGAATTTCCTATTTTTTCTGTTTACTGTCTTTGCATGGTCTGTCTCCCCCTTGTGTCTGTACCTTGAGGTCTTCCAGGTTCATTCGCTCCTGGCTCTCTAGTAAATGCTCTCTCTCCTGCGCTTTCAGCTCATCTTGCAGGTGCTTCTCCTCCAGACGTTGCTGGATCTGGTCATAAATTTGCTGCATTCCACTGAAATACAACACATGCACAGCACACATAACAATTCTAAACTGGAGGCCTTTTGACTTTACTGTTGACCAGCAACCTAATGATCTCATGAAAAGGATGTAAGTGGGTTTTGTCGGGTCAAATGATTTAAGAGCAGATTTTTTTTTTTCCTTTGTCAATAAACTTGTACCATCAGGTTCATAAGGTTATATTATCAACTTAATTCATGTGCAAGTCAGCCTATGAATCATTCTGTGAGTCCCAGCAGACCTCCCTTTACCTGATCCTCTGCTGTTTGTGCAGCTCAGCAATCTGCTCAACAGTCTCCAAGGCCTTGCGGCGCTCCACCTCCATCATGGCATCCAGACGCTTCTCCTCCTCTAACATCTCCATCTGGATCTGTTTCTTCTCCTGGATCTGGGCGTCACGTGTGGCTTGACACTGAGCACCCAGGATCAGCTGAAGGGACCAGACACAGACAGGTGTGGTTCATTATTCTTTATTCATACAGGAAAAAAAAACAGCACTTCTGCCAATCACAGATGGGTTCACTTGTAGACACATTTTAAAATTTTCATCATCTACCTTGTTGAGCTTTTTGACTTCCTCCTCTTGCTCCATCCTCAAGGCACTGGCCCGTTCCACCAAGTGCTGCACACGGTCCCGGGCCTCTAGCTCCAGCTCAGTCAGTGCATGGTTCTCTTGACGGGACAGGTCTGCCACATAAAGTTGATGCTTCCTTTCATCTGCAGTTTTCTGGGAGAGGGGTGTATTTTAAAAAAGAAGAAGGTTACAGGCGTATTGTTTTATGACTAATCTGCAAGTAAAAGGACACTTCATTCAAATTTTTCATGTTTCATACAATTTCCTCTTCTTTCTTCTTCTGATAAGCCTCCTTCAAGGCCTCCTTCTCCTCCTTGGTGAGGACCTGGGCTGCCGAGGTAATCCGCTCAAACTCAGCTGATGGAAGAATGATGGACTCTCCTGAAGGATCTGTCCCTGGGATCCTAATAAAACAACAGGTGATGGGATTGTCTGATAAATCTCCATGCGTAATCAAAGTACTGCACACACCTTTTATGATAACATGACATTCACTTTTTTTTTTATTATCTGAACAATATCTAGTACAACTCTGAATCACAGAGATTGAAAATACATGCGTTCATAATGTTACTTGCTAAAAACCGAACCCACTTTCCATTTTGCAATATTGTATTTTGAAGTTACATTTATTTAGCTTGAATTTGTATCTATTAAATGTGCCTTCTTCTTTACATAACCACGTTTACCTGAGATTACGAATTAGGTCTTTGGTGATGATTTGAACAGACTCTTCTGCTTGGTTCTTCTGGGACTTAACCTTGGCCTTGGACACTGGATTCCCACATTTGTCTGATGATATCTGGACAGTGTTATATAGAAACATCTCATAAACCCACTCATAACTTGTGATCTATCCACCCTTGCAACCATATACATTACACTCTGACAGGTAGCCTACATCAAGCTTATAAACTGATGCCATAGCCAAGACCAGGGATATTGATTATGTCATTAAAAATCACACACAGCTGCCTTTTGTTGTCTAGGGTAGGCTGCAGCAAAAAATAAATAAATAAATAAATAAACAAACAACTCACCGGGTTTGGGCTCCCAAACAGATTTTCGTCCACCTGTGAGGTGGGGGCTCTTCTGCGGTACCGGCACGTCAAAGAGCTGCTCCTTGAAGTCGAGGAACCAGATAGTCTCTACAGGGATTAGCATTATCATACATGTTAGCAGGCCCTCATAGCCACTCTTTATGAAATAGCTTAACTGTTGCAACAATCTGAAACGCCTTTGCCAAATAAACTTACCATGGCCGTCGGTTTTTGCTATCAACGTTACCTGTTTCACAGTAAACTTTTTGGTTTAAAGCCCGTCAGCGACATCATCTTAAACTTGGAGATGTTTGTCTGTTTCCATGGTAACAAATGCGCGGCTAAGGAGAGGAGGAACTAGGAAGTAGCCGTATCATGTCCTGCCTTTTATGGCAAATATACCTGGAGTTAAGCAGCTACAACTAACAAACTAGGTTAACGTAAAGTTTTGTAAGCCGACATTTAGTAGTATGCATACAGTACATTATTACGGGCTTTAACGTGCAAAATGGAAAACAGCAGGAGCTAAAAACAAGGTGGCATAGTTAGCTAACCACCTAACGTTATTTTAAAGTGCTGACATGTTGTATTAAACACACGTAATATATTCACTTTGCTTTTTAGAACCCTAGCTGCAACCACAGTCTGCCTTTCAATAACTAATTGCTGGCATAAAGTATGAAACTTAACCAGATTAGATTTCACATTTGTAGGTTCAACATTTGTGTTATCATGTTGACGGCTGTGAAAAATAACTACTGCTGTGCTTTGTCTTTCATTACAGGGCGGCGCCAGTGAATCCACTGTCTCGGAACCTTGACGCTGTACTACTCCTCCTCTTTCCCGTCCTCCTCTTCCTCTTCCTCTTCCTCAGTACTCCACAACTGTGACAATGAAAACACCAAAGTTAGTTGAAGTTATTTCGCGAACAATGCCAACGAGCAAACAGCGGACAGGCGCATAACCTCAGAAAACAGGTAGATGGTGCACTTGCACTAAAGATTATTTTAACGTAATTTAAATGAATGGATTTTTGTAACAATGCTTACACTGATACTTGATGTACAAATTCACTTGGACACAACCCGCGGTGGTTGTGTAATGTTTTGCAACATGGCGTTTACACGTTTGTAGACAACAACAACAACAACAACAACAAAAGACGGAACGAACTTTTCTGCCCACCAGGTCATTTGCTGCTGAGGATCACCCTGTTCACAGGAGCCTCCCGCTGGTCTGCAGTATTATTGGACTCCCCGGTGAATTATTAACTGCGATCATTTGAGGACTCCCTCCATGACATCCTCAGATGGACAAACAACAACAACAGGAGAACACCAAGGTCACTGTCAATGTGGAAGGACCCTTTTTTACTTTATAAATGAGTAACTGAAGGAAACAAGACATCATGTACTGATTGAAATGCTTTTCTAGCTCATCTGACCGGCCTGCAGCACTCGGATTAAATCAGCTTAGAAGCAAAGAAGTTGACCATTAACCTCTCCCACTGATATCAAACACCTCTCCACCTATAGGCAGCTGCTTCTGTGGCTCCTGAAGCAAAGTTCACTGTGGCAGGTGACAGAGGTCTGTCACACAGCAGGAGCTCGGTCCCTTCTCTGGCCTGTCCTCTATTTTTCTCAGTTTTAATAGGATTAAATCTGCAATCATGGCTACAACCAGTTATGGATACTACAGAGGAACTATATTTTTGGCCATGTTTGTGGGCTACACACTGTACTATTTTAATAGAAAGACTTTCTCCTTTGTGATGCCTTCTGTAATGGAAGAGATTGAGCTGGATAAGGATGACCTGGGTATGTGATGCTTGGATTTGCACTGACTTTATGCTTGGTTGTCTGTATAAGTAGAAAGATAAATTGCAATTAATGCTGTTACAGTGCACAGATAGCATTTTAAATTAAAATTCTTTCCCCAAAAGTAATAAGGACTTTATAACTTGAAAATGGATGAAGTATTTGCCCCCTAACAGCCTTCTCACATGATATTAACCTCACATATTATTTTACCTTTTTCATGCATATACTCTGTGTTACAGGTGCACTTCTATCATAAATTACTTATTTACCTGGGCGCTTTCCTGAGAACTGTACTTCATGTATGAGATATTCAGGACCTAAAACTTTTGTTTTAACTTCCATCTGCTCTGTATATACTCCTTCCCTTTTGTCCTCTCTGTTAAGGCTTGATCACCAGCAGTCAGTCTTTAGCCTACGCTATCAGTAAGTTTATCAGCGGTGTGCTTTCGGACCAGATCAGCGCCCGCTGGCTCTTCTCCATTGGCCTGTTCATGGTGGGAAGCATCAATGTGTTCTTCTCCTGGTCTTCCACTGTCGCCGTCTTCGCTGCCCTGTGGTTTCTGAACGGCCTAGGCCAGGGCCTCGGCTGGCCTCCCTGCGGTAGAGTGTTGCGTAAGGTACCTGAGCCACGTGTTAGTGCTGCAGTGTACTGACTGAGGAGTTAAAATATAAACATGTCAGTGGACGCTTGTCAAATTATAGTGCTGAGGAAATACAGTAGACCTTATGGTCTCATTACACTTACTGCTAATAGACTGTTCGCCAGTACAGTCTGTGCATTTGGCTGTTTGCAATGTGTTTACACCTAAAAAGTGAAACCAGTGTTGTAATGTGTGTGTGAGACACTGCACTGGTTCAATTATCCCTCCTACATATTAAGCATAACTTGCTTTTATGATTTAATTTCAGTATTTCTTTTTCTCTGTCGGCAGTGGTTTGAGCCCTCTCAGTTCGGGACGTGGTGGGCAGTCCTCTCCTGCAGCATGAATCTGGCTGGCAGCTTGGGCCCCATTATTGCCGCGGTGCTTGCCCAGAGTTACAGCTGGAGGACCATACTGTCAGTGTCGGGAATGATTTGTGTGGTGGTCTCCTTCGTCTGCCTGCTGGTCATCAAGAATGAGCCTAAGGATGTGGGGCTGCCCAGTATAGAGGCAACAGCCAAGAAGAGTAAAGGAGGTGAGATTGACTTTTACTGAATGATTTATAGTAATTGTCCAGTTCAAAGTTTTTAGCAACTACTCTTTACAAACAGGGACTGAAATCAGGCACTGTGTGCAGATGTGTTTTCATGCATCATGTGATTAATGGGTTGAGACTAAAGGTCGGTGACTCAGTGGACTCTGTACCCAGTGTACCCCTCACATGCAACTTGTTTGAATTGTGTCTCATGTGCAGGCAAAGTCAAAGTTATATGTGTGGTGAAGAGATGCTTTATTCTTGACTCTGAGACCCCTCTGACCGCCCCCTTTGGTCATGGGATTATTATGTTTCAGCCGTTTGTGTTGTGTAGATGGTAACGGTTCAGATACTCTACATTCTGGACTAGCAGATAATACTGAGCCTTCTGCCTGCTACCTGTTCAGGATCTTCCAGTGATGAAAGTACCCTGTCTGAGTTCCTGCTGTCACCTTACCTGTGGTTGCTGTCTATGTCCTACCTGGTGGTGTTTGGGGTGAAGACAGCCTGCACAGACTGGGGCCAGCTGTTTCTCATTCAGGACAAAGGCCAATCTACACTTATGGGTATGGAAGAGGGGAGGAGTGGATGCCACATATTTGCCAAGTCCAATTTGGTTGTTATTGTTTCATGTGAATCACCATATTCCTCTACATAGGTAGCTCATACATGAGCGCCCTGGAGGTCGGAGGCCTGGTGGGCAGTCTCGTAGCTGGTTATCTCTCTGACAAGGCTGTGGCCAAGGTGAGTTTGCACAGAGTACACATCTGAAGGATTTCCAGTGTGTTTGTTCATGCTGTTGAGACAGCTTTGATTATAACTATTTCCCAAAATTTGACAAAATTATTCCATCTCAGCCCGTGTTTGTTTGTGTATTTATTTGGCCACTGACAATATGGGTGACCACAAATCACTGAAAAACCTCTTGGGGTATTTTCTCCATTATATCACAGACTTAATAGAACTTTCAGTATTTCAACTCATTTTTAATCATCCATCTATTTTTCTGTATTTTAGCATTTTTGTTCTAGTTCCTTTTAATTCTGATTATTTACATATTTGATGAAACAAGACAATTTGCAAAGAAAAATAATGTGATGGTATTCTTTTAGACCATAACTTTCATGGAGAAAGTGTTCATACAAAGGTACAACTTCATAAAACCTAACAGATTACTTTTGTATTGCCTTTCCTCTTATAAGACCTTCATGTAAGATCAAAGTTAATTATAATTCTTATAGACAGCAAAACCAACTTTTTGTTATGTGTGTCCTTATGTGTACAGCAAGGCATGAGAATTTACGGCAATCCTCGCCATTTCATCCTGATGTGCATGATGGCTGGAATGTATGTGTCCATGTACCTGTTCAGAGTCACAGTTACTCCTGACAGTCCCAAGGTACCACTGGCATCCCACTGAACACACAGTCACTACTAAGAGCACACTGCACATCATATTTCACGGTCCTCAGTGATGTATCTTTCATCTGCACATTCAGATGTGGATAATCAGCTTGGGTGCTGCTTTTGGCTTCTCCTCTTATGGACCAATAGCACTATTTGGAGTCATTGCCAATGAAAGCGCCCCATCCAACTACTGTGGAACATCACATGCCATTGTTGCCCTGATGGCCAACGGTAAGTTGACTGGGTTTTATTTCAGAATCATTACATTGTGCATCAGCTATACATATGGAACCTGTACAAGCTGTAGCTAACTGCTCAGTGCATTCATACTAATAACAAAATTCCATACCTGTAGTTTCCTAGTAAGACCTTTAAGTTGGTCATATCCTTAGCTTGACAGAACTCCACTGACCTGACTTTGGTGTAGCAAACTGAGCCTGAATCAATTAAAGTGAGTGAACTGTATGCATTGTAGTGTGTATATTCTCTAGCCTTTGGAGTAAAGTGATCCATTGTGTTCTGCTCAGTTGGTGGCTTCCTGTCTGGACTTCCGTTCAGCACCATTGCCAAGCACCACAGCTGGGAAACGGCCTTCTGGGTAGCAGAGATCACCTGTGGTGCCACCACTGTCGGATTCTTCCTGTTGCGCAACATCCGAACTAAGATGGGCCACGTGGCCAAGAAATCAGAGTGAAACACCTCATGTTCCGCACTGGGATGAAAACTGAGTATTTTAAGCCATTATTGTATTTTTCATACACACACACACACACACACACACATACATACACTACCACTGTTTTTCTCAGTCAGCCTTAAGGGACCTAAGTGTAATTGAAACTCAGAGATACTTACTGCATCAGTAACTCAACAAAGGACCATTATGTGTTAATGACAGAAGCATAAACTGGAGCCTGGTTTATAAACGGGTATATTGCACAATATCTGTTTTTAAGAAAGTGTTGGAATAAAAAAAATCATGAATGCAAGACCTACTTGATGTTCACCTAGTCCGTTTTTAAATGAAAGCACAATTTATGGTCTTCATAACAAGAGCAGGCAAAGGCTTGAATAAACGATACTTGATGTTTTTTCAGCCAAATAGTAAGTAAATTCTCAATAGTGTATTTAATGTAGAAATTCAATATATGTGCAGCCAAAAACAAACAAAATATATGAAATGTTAATGCACGATTTTAATCTTTACGTATTTACAAAACATTATGTATTTACAACATGTCAAATCCCAGTCCAAAGTAACAAGGACAATCCATTTAATTTAGTTGCCTCACTAAGACCCATAGTCAGAGTTTTAGTGAATTTATTTTGATTAGAAATGACATTCAAGCAGATCCATCTATTTAATCCTCTCTGGTTCAAGATCCAGTTCCAAAGTTGCCAGCTTTCTCCGCTATCTCCAGTGCACTCTTCAGATTCTGATCAAAGAGTTCACACCTAGAAAATCAAAACATCCAACAGTGTTAGAGGACACAATCGGGTGTATTTGTGTTCAACAATGGATACCTATACTAATTTTAAGATGTAACATCACAACAAAGCAGTAGAAAACATCCTTTCCTCAGATGTATCCTTACCTGATTGGCATTTCCAAGGAATAGAATGGGTTCTTCAGGGCAAAGTCTGAATAGATCTCATAAATCTTTCTCAGCAGTGCATCAATACCAGACTGTCGAGGGTCTGCCAGCACAATAAACTTTATCCCTGAAAGCAGAGATGGCACAAACTGTGAGAAAAACAACACCTAATGTGTGATATAAATACAAAGTTAGAAATACTATTTTTGTTGGTCTTTCTTTCACCCACAAAGACATTTGTTTGCACTACTGACCCGTGAGAGTCTGGTAGCAGTGGAGTTTGAAGACATCTGTTTCTAGCATCTCAATTCCTGAACTGCCAACTTCAGGGGACAACTGTGAACCTATAGCAAACAACCTGGAGGAAACACAAAGACAGACATGTTGGTGTTTGAGACACGTGAGACCCAAAGCTCTGTTGTCTAGCAGGGAGGATAAATGTCTAAGGAAGCTTCTTTGGCCCACCTCAACAGGAAAATAAGAGGTCAGAATTAGACAGAGAAACTAGGTTGAGAAGAAAATCACCAGAAGTTTAGTTGCATAGTCGGTGACAGTTGAGCAGAGTGAATGGTTGTTATGTGAACCTGGTTCCCCTGGATGGCTAAGGCCAGTGAAAATGCTAAACAACACTTACGAGTGGAACATGGATGCCAGCATCAACTTCTCATTGGAGCTCAGGCGAGCCCGTCCAAATCGAATAGACACTGGATAATTTGAAGGATCTTTCAAGTATTCAAGAATGTCCTTTCCTTCTGCTGTGTTCTTTCCATTAACATCAGCTCCATTGATGGACAGTACTGCGTGGCCCACTAGAGAATGACAACGCACACGTTAGCCTAAGTAAGTTTCAGAAAATATAGTTTAAGGTCGGGTTCTGAAAGGTCACGCAATCTGACAGTCCAATACTTGCACCACAGAACATCACGAGGAATGTTCACATCTGTACAACATGGCCACTTTGAATGCAAAATTGAGTTTCGTGCAGACAAACCATGCTTTGAGAGGTTACGTTACCTCTGATTCCGTCCCGCTGTCCGAACGATACCACGACCTTTTCATCATGATGTTTGAGTACCACGTCTAAAGGATAGCTAAATGTTTTCTCAACCTCCGCTTTCGCGACATAGTTGTCATATTGGTAAATTAAACCCCCAGCCTTATTCACTACATACACACTGAAGATCGCCATTTTTGCAACTTCTAGCCCAGCTGACAAAACTGTCACGTGATCCCAACTGTGACGAAAGGCAGGAAACTTCTAAATCAGCTCTGGTTTGACTTCTTGATTATTTTTGTCTTCGTATCAACATCAAAACTACCGCTATAACAGTTTTGTGTGGTATGGTTAATTATCAAAAACAACAAAACACAAAAAACTCAACTTCCCATAATCCCTGAGCTCATTTCCGCATGTACGGGTTGTGTCAGGGACTTTTGCACGGGTGAGCTTCCTTTCGCTCCGACATCTTGACGAGGAAACATGGTGAGGATAGTTCTTACACGTCTTGACGAAATTAATTTTAAGTTTCTTATGTTTCTGTCGCTCATCTTAATTTGTGACTTTTTATAATATATTGCAATAGCAGTGTGCTTTCATACGCCGTGATAGCAGTACGTGGTTGATGCAAACAGTTGAATTGTATTTCTTTAGCTAGCGGCTAGGTGGCTAGCCCTAGCTAAATTGCTCACTCCACCATGCTTTTCTGCTACACTGTGGTTATAGATAGCGAGCCGAACAAAACTGGCATACATAGCGGAATGCACATGAGAAATATAGCTGCATATGTATAAATAACGCTAGCACTGTAAAGCTACGGTATATGCTTGTAACCAGAATAACCAGTAAGTTAGTGTTTGAAACGTTTTTTGAAAATGTGGGCAAGGCCTCCTATACCGGCTAGCCGAGCAAACGTCAGTTAGCTGAAATTCTTCTCAATTACTGTTCAAGCATTGTTATACCCGAGCATTCTGACATGAGCCTAAACTATATGATGACAAGCCCGACGTGGAGCCCATCTCTGAATCCGTTATGCGTAATGTGTTGCCCTCTCTTGCTAGCCTCCCAAACAAGACAAGAAGAAGGATACTGGGAAGTCCAAGAAGGACAAGGACCCAGTCAACAAGTCTGGAGGCAAAGCCAAGAAGAAGGTATACGACAATTAATATTCATCCAGAATTGGTCCTTTACATGTGATGCAGTTGCTGAGTAGCTTGATTACAGGACCTGTTAACTTTACTTAAACACTGACACTAAATTTCTGTGTTATTGAGCAGAAGTGGTCCAAGGGAAAAGTGAGGGACAAGCTCAACAACCTGGTCCTCTTCGACAAGGCGACCTACGACAAGCTGTACAAAGAAGTTCCCAACTACAAGCTTATCACCCCTGCTGTTGTGTCAGAGAGGCTGAAGACCAAAACTGAACTTTTGTTTTCACATCACAGCCCCAGATTTTAACTGCAAATGTGATGAGAACTGACAAACAGATGAGCTGTAAGACATTTACATCTGTCAAGCAATACTGTGTTTACATTCATACAAATGACAGAGAAGGTTTGCACACGATTTTAGAGTTTAATATACTGTGATGCCAGATTGTTTCTGGGGAGTTCCAGCAAAATGGCTACTTGTTTGGTTTTATGTCCTACAAAGTTATTTTGGTGATTTTTAGCTGAAGGAGCACAAAAAATGAGCTTTCCACATATGTTTGCAATAAATGAGTAATTTCCTTGAATAAATGGGTCTGGGCAAAGGTCCATTAGTGATTAAATATGAATGTTATTAGGGTAGAGGTACAAAACATCAGTAACAGTAAATGTAATGTGAAGCAACAGTAAGCTCATGTCATCAGTGTGTCTCACAGTCATCAGCGCTGCTCATTGGCTGTTCCTAACATTTACACAAGATGTACTGTGCCCAAGTGTTTCTGTACCATTTCTATCAGTTGCTCCAAACTAACATTGATGCAGCCAACATTGCTGAACATTGTGCTTGTTTCTTTTGAAAGCATTCAGACTCTCCTTTGGCGTGTGCATTTGCAGAAAGCAAGGGTACAGAATTGAATGCCATTTAGAAAACATTTTAATGGTGCAATATTTTATTGCTTCCCACCAGATACCAAGCAAACATTTTAAATATCTAATGGCAAACTTGTTTCATTATCTTGCTATATGCAATGTGCCGCCTGTAACAAAAACAGCTTTATTTTTGTAATTTCTTTACACTTGTCATGGGCACTCGCGCCCCTATTCTAAATTTATTGTTAAACTGCAGGTGCTTTGCTGGCCATCATGTTGTTAACATTTCTAAAGGTAGTGCTTATACTGATTTGGAGTTGCCTTGGCTACATAAGCTAAAATACTGTATATTCTGGCTTTTCTTTATAACAATGAGAATCAGCTTTATTGGCCAGGTGTGTCAGACACACGACAAATTTGACTTTGGTACCTCGGCTCTCAGTGCTCTCAACAAAAAGCATCAGTCAAGCACAAAAGATTAATCTAAGTCTGTGGAAGTCAGTGGCAATGCAGGCTACATAAACAGTTAATGTAAGTGAATGAAAATGTGAATATACTGACAGACAGCATGGTCATTCTTTGTTTTCCAGGCATGATTAAACTAGTGTCTAAACATAGAGCACAGCTGATTTATACACGTAACACCAAGGGTGGCGATGAGGAGGCGGCAGCAGAGAAAGCATAATCAGGTACAACCACAGAAGCGCTATCTGCATGCATTTTTCTTCTGGTGATTTTAGCTGCATTCACTGACTACAGCTGTTTTTTGTCTTGCAGGTTCTCCTGTTTGTTTCCTGTTTGTAATGAAAGGTGAATAAAAACTGTAAAGACAATCTCAGCTGCACATCTCTTTACTTTTTGTGTGTCATCTGCTAGTTTGGTACTTGGTGTAAGTAGTACTTGGAATATTTTTTGTCACGTTCTGGTTGAGAAGTGGTTTAAGTGTGTCATTTAAGCAGTGGACTGTGGGCAGCTATAGGATCAGAGTGTGCACTAGTCGGACAGCACAATAATTTGCTGGTTCCACTGTCCTCTCAGTCAGAACTCATCTGTGTAAAGTTACACATATTCCTAATGCTTTTCACTAGACTGGGGCAGTGGTCTCAGAACTGGATCTGGGTTATTCATTGTCTGATGCTCCTTAAAGTTTGGGTCATTTTACTGCAAAGAACAAGTGTCCCCACAGGCAATACGCTTTTTGGTTCTGTGTAGAAAAATGCTTGGAACTCAACACTGAAAAGAAAGAATACATCATAAAATACTAAAAAGAGGCTACTTGGATCTGACTGCAATAAAAACAAAGCAGGTACTACTGATGAACATGTTGGCCAGCAGTGTCCACAGGGGGAGAAATTCTTCTCTTCATTAAAAAAAAAGGGGGGGGGGGCAGATTTTGTTTGTGAGGGGTTACACGAGTCCTGTTGTGTATTTAACCTGTCACAGTACTGACTTTTCCCTACTTTGTCAAAGCAGTGTGCTGTGAGTGACATTTGGCAGAGTAATCCATGTTTGTGTGGACACAGCATCAAATTTATGATTGGAGTAGTTTAAAAATGTTCCCACTTTGACATTGTTTTCATGAGGCAAATGGAACCCGTGCAGCAGCCTGACATTCCAACCTGTTTAGTCATTATTCTGTTAAATGGCACACTTGAGATATTATTTTAGCAGCTTGAGTCTGTGTAGCCAGCATATTTGCACCTTTTTAGTGCCAGTTGCATTCGGTTGCTGTTGACCACAATGCATTACTATCCTTGACAATCTCACTCCTCAGGTCTGCACCTGTACCATATACCTACTGTTGTCGTCCAGTAAATCCAAAGGGACATCCTGATTCATCTGGTCTTGTTCTTAGTTTGAAATGGCTCTTTTCTACTGTGGTGAGACAGATTTGTCTTTTATATCTTCCATGTCTCATAAAAAGCCACAGGCAGTGAAAGGCTATGAGATAATGATAAGAAGTGGCATCCAATGAAGATGCTATCTCCACTGTCGGTTGTTTGCTCAGGGCCTGAAAGACACAAGAGTCTTGTGACCACTGCGCTCAGATGTCCTTTTGTGACTGCACAGCTCTACCTCAAACAGCAGCTGGGAAGCAAACTGCAGAAAGTACGTCACTGACAGATGTACCACCTATCAGCCCCATCTGTGAGAGCACAAAGATGAGTCCCTGTTTGCAAGTGAAAGTGGCTTTTTAACAGGGCAACTGAAATGTTGAATTTTAAACACTGCATACACACAGTCGCTGCGCAGGTTGAAAGTGGGTGTAGCCCTGCTGGGACTCCCATGAGGTCACTAGTCCCCAGGTAAAGGAACGGTAACCTGCTGTAACTACCTTTAGGGTGCCATTAATTCTGCACTAACCACCCCTTCAGTCCTGTGAAGAGGTCTTATCAGGCACAGTAAATAAAATCGCCTGCGTGGGTTACCGTTGGTGAGCAGTGCCTTTAAATTGCATTTTGAAAAGTTAACATTGCCTAAAGGTAGAGGAATTAAAGCCATCACCCTCAGCCAAGGGCAGAAACAGAGCTGGGTGGAGTGCTTACAGTCACAGTGTGGTATTTTGCATGCAGGTTCACCATCATGGCACACTGGGACACTTAATGGAAGTTAGGCATTTTATTGAAATGTGTTTCACATGACGTCAATATCTGCTGTGAAAAAGGCTGATTGTGCCCACCTTCAACCTTAGCAGTGGTTTGATCTGCCTTTAAATGTATATTATTAAAACAGAAAACAAACCCAAAGGCTTTGGTTCAGCAAGTATGAAAAGATCTGCATACCCGAATCTGTCTCAAATCTCCTTTCATGTTTACACATTTTTACTCTTTCTGTTCTTGAGCATTTTTCAGTGTGTGATGATGTCATGTAGCGCCAGAACTCTTGTCACCAGCAACACATTTCGATTAAGTCATCAGTGGGAGCGTCAACCGGCTATCCCTGGTAAGATGTCTCCTAAATAGTCAGTGTGGAAAGTTAGAAAACCTTTAGTGAATGAAAGCTTGTTGGTCTCTAAAAGTCCAAGATGGTAAATATAAATTTAATCAATGAGAAAGGGCCTTTATGAGGAGCACACTCACTGTCCCCTTTGTTTCGCTGAACATTCGCTAGTTTTGTAAACCTTTAATGCACCAGCCTAGAAGTTCTGCCAATTCCATAATGTGAGTCTACTAAATCTTTCACAGCCATTTTCTAATATAAATCTGAGAAGTCCTTCAGTTGAGCAAGTTTAGCAAGAGTACACAAAAACTATGTAGCCTGAGTTACCCAGAATTTGGAAACGGTATTTAGTTTGAAAATCAGGAGCATCTTAATACTCGCTGATCTATATTTTAGTTAGTCTGACCTTGAGTTATTTATGTTTATATACCTGAGATGCATATACAGTTTTAAAAATGAACTATTTTGTGATTTGAAATAATCCAAAACAATGACTTGACTTGTTGACAACTGCAGTATCCATCCCCTGCTGTCTATTGTGTTTGCTGGCTGTCTCCGCTGCCACTTGACTAACTGCCCCCTTCCAGGTCCAGCCTTCCTGCTTCCTGTCACCCAGTGCAACTATCTGAAAGACCAGCTTAACTTCATGTTGAGAGCCATGACGTTTAAATTTAGACCGTCCTGCATCGAGCCGTGGGTTGGGTAGTCAAAGTGACTCACTAGTATACATGACTAATACCTGCCTCAGTTCATCATAGATACTTTCTGTTTGTGTGAGAGAGATTGAACCTTTTCACTGCTGGTTAATTCTCCTCCTCTCTCTCTCTCTCTCTCTCTCTCTCTCACACACTCACACTGGTGATATTCGAATAACCACAGGAAGGCTGAAAAGGCGGAAAGAGCATGCAGGGCAGAGGGAGCGCCGTCTCGCGGTGATAAGCCGGGGCACTTCCAGAGCTGGATTTATGGCGAGCAGCTGTTGAGTGGCTGACAGACGTGTGAGGAGCTCAAGCCACTGCTGCTGCTTCAAAAGCTGCTTGTACCAGCTCCAGCTCTGCTTACAGTTGTGTAGGAACAAGGACTGCTGTCTCAACAAATAAGGGTGAGTCCTCTGCCTTTTCATACAGAAATACTCAGTCATTTCTTTTTTCATAACCTCCTCCTCTTGAAGACGGCAAGTTTGCGTTTTTATAAGAGCAACCTTTAACCCATTGCACACTTTTTTTCTCAGTTCTCTCCCCCTCCCTTGTGGCTCATGTGCCCAATGTTGTGCTGTGATTACTTGCTAGTCCTTACAGAGGTTTGAGATTTGGAAAAATGTTTTTAGCTGCCAGCTGTCAGTAGTTTTACCATACATGGCCAGCAATATGGGAATACAAAAATAACTCGGCCAAAAAATCACCTCACTTATGTTTTATGTGTTTTTCTGATCATTGTTCATTAGCTGTACTTATTCAGTGTGTGTCTGCTTGTGTCCTGTGGAGCTTTTTTTAAATTTAGTTCACAATGCTGTGTCCTATTTTTAGTAGTTAAGGCATCACAGACTGGAGACATGACGCTTAGTAGACCGACAGACAGAAACTTTGGCCCTGCCCTCAGCTTTCAGCCGCTGCCCGCTCCGTGTGAGCTCCTCTGAGCGTTCCTCTGCCAGCAACCTCCAGCTAAACAATTTGAGCTTTTCTAACTCACTGAAACTTCTGGCTTTGATTCAGGTCAAACTTTGGCTCAGAGGGGAGCCTGGATTCTCAATTACAGCCGGACCCTGTGGATTTTAGGCGAACAGCCTGTCCAGCTTCGGCCTCTTACTCTCATCCAGAGGTCAGAGACAGAGCCAGGCAGGGACCATGGCTTGTTTAAGGTTAATTGAGAGGGTGTTCTATGATAAATATCGCTGCGGAACCAAGTACTCTTCATCTTACAGAGACAGGGCTGTGTTAGAGGTCTACCTTGGCTGTGAAACCTCTATTTATTTGTCCCTTGTGGAATAGGATCCATATTTACCCTGAAAGTCTCGTTAAAACAGAGTTTCTATCACCAGGAGCCTTAAAAAATAAAGGCGCCTAATCTTTCAAGGCTCTGTGGTCAGGCTGTATTTCCAATCATGATGAACCTCAAACTAAGCTTTCCTGGCACTTGAGCAGTGAGGTTGTTCAGGGAGTGTTTGTTTGAGTTGCTATGGAAGGATCAGTCTGTGGCTGAAGGCCTGGTGGAAACTGGAGCTGGAAGACGCCTTTAAAGACCCAACCTCAAAGTAGTTTCCTCTGAAGTAAGGAAGTCTCTTAGTGCTTTCATTAAAGCAGTTGGATCAAATGCATTGCCATCATAAGGACCAACTCCAGAGCTCTTTTATCCTCATTTACCAAAATCACAGAGTTGGATTGATCAGCATCTTTACAGCACACTCAAAGTGCTTTCACACTGCTTGGCAGTTCACACTCTCAAACACCGGTGTCATCACTGGGAGCAACTGGGGGTTCAGTGTCTTGGGCAAGGACACTTCGACATGTTGACTGGATAAGCCGGGAATCGAACCGTTAATCCTCCAGTTAGAAAACAAACTGCTCCACCTCCTGAGCCACAGCCGCCCACAAGGAGCAGGGTTGTTGTTCCTAGTGCAGCAACTCTTTTGTATGTAGTTTCTCCAGAAATGAACAAATGTCCAGGATCTAGAACAGAATTTCAGGGCCACTGTGAAATAATCTGAGATCTTTAGAATAAAGTCAACACACAAATGATCTGTAGATGTTAGTAGGTACAGTATAGTGTGGGGATATAGGAATTGTTCAATTGAACATCCACTAGTTCTCAATGGAGAGCCTGATTGGAAAACATACACAAACCAGAAGTTAAAACTCAGCAGAATCTGTTAATAAAACTAGCAGAGTTCTGACACGCTGAGGCGTTCACACCCACTAGAAGCTGCTGTTGCTCTGCTGAGATTCAAACTGTCATCATGACTCATTCTCACAAATACGATTAACTGATTAATAAATATAAATGAGGTGAGAGATGAGGAAAAAAAAAAAAAAAAAAAAAGCATTTCACATAACTTACTCCTTATCAACTTTCACCCTCCTCTGGAAATATTCATTTTTTTCCCTCTTCTTTTGGAAACATTCATTTGTTTGGTGAAATCAGGACTATTCATCACAGCTGGGTTCGCAGGCCACGTGACAGCTCCTGTGGAGAGAGAGATATGTTCACAGAAACAGTCGCTTCCTCCCCATAGTTGCTGCGAAAGGCATGAAATGAGTTATGGAGGGTCTTTATCATTTTCTCTCTGAAACATCATCTCCCGAACTCAGGCCCCAGCAGCATGCACCATTGCTTTTATTCATGGTCCCTTGCTGTGAGGGAGGAACAGTATTGATTCACCTTTATTATTTATAGAAACACAACCTATTTGAGTTTGTTGATGCAGTTTGTCGCTGTCAGCCTCCTCCTTCCTTTGCTTGCGTTGTCATATGGGAGTCACAATGGGATGATACACCCAGCTGAACATCTGTTAATGTCAAAGAAGAATTACTTTTTGGTGTGAAAAGTGGCTCCTTTATCGTGACAGAAAACGGGTTTGCTGTGGCAGTAAGATGGAACATCTGTCCAACATCAGCCTGGCTACAGGGCCTGGGGCCATCAAGTTCAAGACAGCCTAGATACATCTTTGTTCAGACAGCTTACCCTGGAAAGTTGGGTTGATGAAGATTTGGAGCAGTGTGTTGCTTGCTGACAGCTCTCTGTTTCGTGTTTTATTCATAATAATGACAGCATTTCTTCAGGCCTTGTCCTCAGTGAAAATAGCTTTCTCTGCAGCTTGTGTTGGGTTATTAATGAGGATTAATCAATGGAAAGAGCGCTGTCTCTCCTCTCTCTGCAGCCCTGTGACGCCGTGCGGTCCCTGGCTGCACTGTGTTCAACCACATGCTGCCTGTGTTGTTGTGAAATCTGTCCCTGGGCTTTCCTGTGTTCAATGTGCCGACCTAGGGGCTCACTCACAGGCTCTGTAGTCCTGCTCCATCAAGTGAACTAAATACAAATAACTTCAATGGTGTCATAACTTAAAATGTTCACTATGGTTTGAAATATGCTGACATTAACCTCCTTGGTTCTTGTCATTGATCAAGTGTTGCTGCGTGGCCAGAAATGACACAGCAGCGCCAGTGCAAAGTGTTATTTTCCTTTTGCCTTTGCCTTCTTGAAAAACTGCTGGAAATTCAGTCAGGTTTTTCACTGGTGCAGTGGGGGTCTGTGCCTGAGCTCTGGGCTCATGAATGTGTGAACAAGACATTGCGTAGAAGTGGCTTTAACAGTGTGTATACAATTCAGCTCGAATTCGAAAAGCTAGAAAAGGGTGAATGTAGATTCTCCTGGATGTGTGAAAACCATTTGGCATCAGCCAGGGTCAATTAGTCTTTTGTCTTAAACATTCTTTACACATGCTTCCATGGTAATAAACACTGGGTACTCTCTCTAACCTAACTTTGCATTGTGCAGCTGTGTTAGGGAAAATTCTCGTTTTTATAAGTTCTCGTTTCTTGTAATTTCATAATGACACGTATCTAAAGAACAGGGCAGAGCGTAGCAGAGCCTTGAGGAGCAGGGAGAGGGAGTGCTGGGCAGAGCAGAGTGGGTTGATTTGGACTTTCATGCTAGTGCTACTCTGCAGAAGAAAGAAAAACAAATCTTAAAAGCACTTGAGGTAGAAAGTCAGCACTGTTCACATCGATAATAAAAACATCCAAGTAGGATAAATGAGATGAAATACAAACATGTTACTAATCATATACCATCAATATTTTATCACTTACTAATCACTATCTGTTTCTATTGCCTGTCTCTGTGTGTTGTGCCCAGGCAGCAGATGGTGCGAGAGCAGTATGCCACCACCACCGAGGGCAGCAGCATGCCCAGCCAGGTGCCTGACCACGATTACAAGATCGGCATCTATGGCTGGAGGAAGCGCTGCCTCTACCTGTTTGTCCTGCTGCTCATCATCATCCTGGTGGTCAACTTTGCCCTCACCATCTGGATCCTCAGGGTGATGTGGTTCAACACAGTACGTAGGACTCACCTTGGCAGTTTGTGTTTTCAGCGGGGATCATTTTCACCCCTTTCTTTCCTTCTTCCATGCCTTTTTATACTCTATTTGTAGTATAATTTCTGGCACTATAGGTCCTACAGGAAACAAAGCTGTCTGTTTCAAACTTGGAAACGTGGTAGAAAATGTCTCACTTGCTAACCAGCCATATTTTGCATTCTTAGCTGAACAAAGCAGTTTATTGATTTACAGTTAAATTATTATATTGACACCATCTTGTCTCTTTGTCTGAATACATAAAGTTGTCTTCACTTTGGCTGCCGTTGCAGGAAGGGATGGGATTCCTACAAGTACACTCAGATGGGGTCAAGCTGGAGGAGGGCGAGTCGGAGTTTCTCTTCCCTGTCTATGCTCAGGAGATCCACTCCAGAGAAGTAAGATAATCAGTAACACACACATTTCTTCCTCCTCTTCCCACATTCCTTCTCACTATGCTATCCCTCTCCTCCTCCCCTCTACTTTCTGCTTTCTTCCCTCTTCTTCCCAGCTCATTATCAAACAGCTGTTTGCTCAGTTAAGTAGCCTGACAGCTTGGCTGTTACTTCACTGCATTTGTTTGCCAAACTTCAACTTAATTGCGAGTTGGACTGTGACTGTCAGACTACACGCTCTATTATCATTCTAATCTAATTCCTTGCAGACAGTAGTTTTGATCCAGCCATAATGAGTGAGCTGCATATTTCTGACCAGTTGTTTTTTGGGAGATGTGTCAAAACAAACTGGATTTGGCAGTCCCACATAGTGCATGTGGTGCTGCAGTGAGCTTTCCATTAACCTCAGGATATTTGTGGTAGAACGTAGTGGCTCGCCTGCTAACACCAGATGAGAACACTTTGCTGCAGTTGTTTACATGTTATGGCTTTCCTTGCTAATAGCTGCAGTTTTTTTTTAGCATTCTTATTTTATGCGCTGTGTTACAAAGGCAGTGTATTCCTTGTTTATAAGTGGACGCTTTCTGTAATACATTCTGTGGCTGTACTGAGCCGCCGTCTCACCTTTGACTTGCATCTTATATCATTTTGTTTTTCTAAACTCATTTACCTGCTGTATTTTGTGCAAATATTTATTTGAAAGTAATATTGTATATTTGAAAATCTGCATCACTTTACAAAAAAGGCATCTTTATAACTAATGACTTAATTTCTGCTTAATTAACCATCCTGTATAGGTCAGCTTAGACGTCATTCATTTAGGAAAACTGCCTGGTTGGTGTGCATCCTACTTCAACAGGCACTTAATAACAGTATTAAAGTCATTAATAAATACAAGATAATACATGTCTGCAGTTGTAAATGTTAACATGTCTGTCCATAAATAATGGAGGAAACTTCCCAGTGAACTACAAGACAGAACAAGTGTTAGGCTGCAGCAGGATAAACACCAGCCAAAGTAATTCTTCTCAACACCAAAATAATCATTTCAACGTAACTGTTTTAAACAGGGTTACAAAAACAATGTAAGTCAGCTAGCTAGCTGTGAGAGCCCTGGTTCTTTAAGCCCAATGCTAACATTAGCTTATTAGCACATTGAATGAACTGTGTTGTTTGTTGTTAATGGCATTAAGTAGATCATGTTTAGCATGTTCACCAGTTTAGATGAGCATATTTGCATGCTCATGTTTGCTAATTAGCACAAATGACAAAGTAGATCTGAGGCTACATACAGGAAATAGTATTTTTTCCCCAGTCATTTCTCTGTTGCAAACCTACAGCACATCAGTGGGATTTGTACATGGTGGTAACATGACATTGTTGCTTTCTTTTTTTCCCCAGGACTCTTCACTTCTAGTGCACTCGATGGAAAATGTTTCCCTTAATGCCCGCAATGAAAATGGCGATGTCACAGGGAGGATATCAGTGGGTAAGAGCCTGACAGAGGATCACATGTACACACACACAGCACTTGTGCATAACAAAGTGTCTCACTGATGTATGAGGGCAACAGTAAAGTCGTTACTGCAGTAGTTTCTCATCCGACATTGACAGTGACAACAAACCATCTTTCCATTTATAATCTCTTAGATTTCCATTTAAAATCCATTAAATGCAACATTCCTCTCTCTATTGTTGCTTCTGGATTGTGTCATACTACACACCTGGGTCTGAGTACAAATTATTGTATTTCAGTTTATCTATTCATTTCTATTAATTTCACCTTTGCCACCATACCATGTGAGGAGATAGCACATCTCTGAAAGCACAAATGTGTCTTATTATATCCTCTAAGTGCTGCATGTTTGATAAAGTGTAACAGGAAAAGGGAGATAATATTTTGATGATTGAAATGTTGACAAACCTCTTAATGTATTTTTGCTGCTGTTGTTGCTGCAGGTCCAAAAGAGGCTCAGGGACACGTCCAAAAACTCCTCATTAGCTCCCACAATGACAACATGCTGTTCACTGCAGATGGCAACCAGGCTGTGATTGGACCAGACAAACTGCGAGTCACAGGTAAACCGGTGGCCGCCACCTGCTGCTGTTGCTGCTTTGGAAATATCACACGCTTCTTGTCAAGAACATTTTTCACATTTAAAAATAATGACATTGACAACAGATGTGAACTCAACAGGAGCAGTTTGATTTGATACCAACAGTCCAGCAGCCACAGTCAGAAGCAGTCATGCACTCATGTCATACACGTGTCAACCAAAACAAAACACTTTAATACAAAACAATATGTCACATTAATGAGTAAAGTATTAAATATCAGGCTGAACCTGCCTGTTGTCTTTTCTGCCCTGCATTCAGTGTCTCTGTGTTCACTGTATATTTTGATGGAGGTGCTGGTCATTGATCACACATCGTGATCGATGGCTTCATTATGAGCCACAGAGAACAGCATGCAGCAGCACTCGAGATTTTAAGTTGACAGCCATGCTAGTGGCTCTGAGGTTCCACATAGACACAGTGAGGTGTTGAGCTAAATGCTAACGTTACCATGTTATAGTGCTCACTATGACAATACCATCATGCTGATGCTAAGTAGGTATGATATTAAGATGTCTGCAGTCTTAATTTTGCATGTTAGCAAACTAGCATTTGAAAGTTGGTGCAAAACCAAGTAGAGATATCCAGTAGCTTTTGAGATATACAGTCTGGACTAGAACTGCAACTGATGATTATGTTCATCATTAATTAAGCATTAAATCAGTGTATGGGCTCTTATCTTTTTACTCTACTAATCATTAATTTAATCAAATATTTTCTTGATGAATTATTTACTCTACAAAAAGTAAAAATTAAAGAGAAAAATATTAATTCCAGTTTTTCTGAATCCAAGGTAACTATGTTTTCTTGTCCAATCAAGTCTCAAACCCCCAAAGTATTAGGTTTACAAAGATATAAGATGGAGAGAAGCAGAAAATCTTAACATGTAAGAGGCTAAAGACTGTTTTTTTGTTTAAAATATGATTTAAACAATTGCTATATTATCAAAAGTCCCCCCCGACAGTTGATTAATTGTTGCAGCTCTAGTCTGAGCTAAGTGGTGGATCGACCAACAGACTGACTTTGCTCTTCCTGGAGCCATGCTGCCTGGCAGGGCTAAAAATGAAATGCTGCAGATTCTCACAGCTACTTGTTGTAAGCAGTAATATTTAGCCCCTTTTTTCAGTCTATTTTGACTGCTAGATAACAGACAAGTGCATGTTTGGGAATCACACAAAGAGATGGGCTAGATTTTTAGATTGTATTAAAAATGTTACACACACACGGTTATAGGATCAGTCGTCAGGTCCTCTGACTGCAGCAGAATCTGTAACACATCTTGATTCAACCTCAGATGAAGTGTGTGCTCGTGTGTGTCTCGTTGTCCATTAAGGTCCTGAAGGAGCTCTTTTCCAGCATTCAGTGGAGGTGCCCCAGCTGAGATCTGAACTCCTCAAAGACCTGAGGTGAGCATTTCAGTCATCTCGTATGGCTCATTTTATGAGAACATAATGAGTCCAGTAAATGATGTGGAAGTACAGGGAGATGCAGTAAAATCATTTGCACAAGATCCACTGTAATTTCAGCTTCTTCAGCTTTTAACCTTTCAAAGGGAACTGAAGACAATCTGTTTACTGGATCTTAAAAAGCGGCTTTTAATGAAAATCAACGATCAGACTGATTGTGTTGATGTAAGGTGCATGTATATAATGCTGAGAGGTTTTTCTCTAGGTTGGAGTCTCCTACTCGCTCTCTCAGTATGGACGCACCAAAAGGTGTTCATCTCAAAGCCCTGGCTGGCAATATTGAAGTAGCTTCCAACCTGGATGTTATTCTGCAGTCTACTGGAGGACTGGTAAGAAGACATGGTCCACTGCTGCACACTGTCTTCAGGTTTCAGGGTTTTTTTTCTTCTTTTGATTAGCAAGGGATTATCTAATTACTCAGTCACACACACACACACACACCTGTGCTCAAAAGCAGTCTGACAACAGTTCAGCCTGTTTCCATTTACTACACAGTTTTGTCCTTAGAGACCTCATTATATCCATTCTACAATTGTACAGTATCGTCTTGTTAAAATAACATATTGACTGTTTGTGGTTCTAAAGGTAAAGACAGTGAAATATGATCTTGAACAATACTGTACTACAGTATGTCGCTGGCGTTCTAGCAGTGTTGATCTGTATTTGTGAACATCAGGAGTTTGTCATCAAGCCAACAACAAGCACCCAGATACTGGTCTGTACGCTGTGCCTTTTGGAGTTACAAAACAGTTTGGGCTTTGACAGAGTGGGTTGCATTTCCATGTTACTGTTTAGTTGTGCTGATTAATTCTGGCAGGATAACTGTTGTGGTGCAGCTCACAGGCTGAACTATAGAAAGCATTTGTTTCATGGGTGCTTCTGAGGAATACAGCACAATCATATGATAAGAGAGTTGCAGGGCATAACCCTCTTATCTTTCCTTGCTATAGGGAAGAAAACTGGGTGTTGATCTACACTGAACATCTTAGATAACAGAAAAAATCATCTGAATGCTTATGTTTTCTAGTGTTTTTTTTTTTTCCTGCCACAGGAATGTCTTTATGGACCAGTGCACTGTTTAAGACGTTCACTGACCTCTCTACACCCACACATGCCAAGATGCGTGTGGGCAGTCAGCTTAAGCGGAAAGAATTTTGCAGTGTGACTTTTCCTTGTTGATTCAATCATCGTTTAATTGTACTTAAGCCTTCACATTCTGTGCGCAGCTGGTGCTGGATGCTGAGACGGTGCGCATGCCAAACCTGACTCTGAGCAAGGGAGGGATTTCCGGAAATGCTCAGGATCTCTACGAGGTCTGTGTCTGTCCTAGTGGTAAGCTCTTCCTGTCCAAGGCCGAGGTCACTTCCACTTGTAGTGGCAATCAGAAGTGCTAGAATGACGCTGACAGGGTCATCGATTTTCCATCTCTCAGTAGATGCATCATCGGGGAGGCGACAAGCACAACTATTTATATCAACAGTTTTTTTTAAAAGTCTTTATACCACAGTGGATCTACGGTGAGCTCAGTGCTAAGATCCAACTGGCACAACGAGGCCTGTAAAAATACAAATGCCTGCTGGTGAACATGATGGAGATGTCATGAAATGCATCCTTAGTTATGTCTATGACCTAACTATTCAGCTGAAACAAACTGGCACTCAGTACCAATTGTGTCTGAAGCAGAGGTTTGTGGAGAATTTTCTTTAAACACACACACACAGTATGGCTGGGCAATGAGGAGCTGGTAACAGCTTACATCCTATGCAATATTATCTTTTGGTGCAATATATTAAATTGACACATATCAAGGGTTTGAAATAATCCCTTGATATGTATCATTACAAAGAATGAATAGAAATGTCTGAAATGGCAACAGAATGTTACTAAAAATATTTATTTTGGTTTATGCGTGTTGTTGTGGCCTTAAGCCACTGGTATTTAGTGTTTTGTTTTGGTATTAAGCATGCTTTTATTTAACTGAGGGACACTTTGGAGAAATTCTGGTATATATTTTCATTGTCATAGTCACTTCAGAGATTCGGAGATGGGCTTTATCTCTTGTTTGATTCAAATTCAGACACAGACCTTTCTTGTTTTGTTTCAGTTGCATTATGGGGCTGAAATTAAAACACCAAGTCCTTATAGCACCACAGTGTTACTAGTGTGGTATCATATGAACAAATGTTGTTTCAGTTTAAAACACTACACACAAGCAAACACACATTCCCATTCAACTCAAAGGGAAAGTATTCCAACATTTGAATGGTAGTGTATGTGTTTGGCTTGTTATTTCATTAAACCCTTCTTATGCATGTAATTATGCATTAGCTACAAGAGTTTTTTTTTTATTCAAGTGCATTGCTGTTTGTTTAGTAACCTTATCTACAGCCAAGGGTTCATTACAACAAAGCACTCCATTATACCACAACAAGAAACAAGCAAAACAAAGCAGGTGTAATTATGGTGCTTTAGTTGTGGCTGGTTTTATTAATCTGATTGGAAAAATAATAGGATGATTATATCTGTTTTGCTTTTGCCTTGTGGGTTAAATATTCCTTGATTTTATTTTCTTTCTACATAATATGGATGAGAAAGAGGCTACTTCATAACATTTGCCTGTGTTGTAACATTAAGTTCTTGGTTTGCATCAAAAAGGTCAATATTCTGTAATGATGCTTAGACTGAGTTCAGCAAGTTTATCCTACAGTACATTTCTGCAAGATGGTTTTAGCATAATTAACATCTCCTGCTGTTGTGTTATCACTGTCACCACTGATGCACAGTTTGTAGTTCTCACCCACAGTATGTACTGGCATATTTTGATAAGGTGTGTAATGTGTATTTATTAATTTTGTATGTTGAATAAATTTTGTGCTATTCTTCTATGATGTCTGTCAAATCTTGCAGACAAAATAACGGTCAGTTTCTTTCACCGTTTGTTTCCTGCTGTGCACTAAAGCTGCACAGTGGATATGGATAATTTTGACCATGTCCTAACCATGTTCATGGGCTCTCTGCAGCCCTCTAGTGGGGAATCTCTGCAGTACAACCATAATACACCAGAGGTGGGTTGACCATTGGTACCATGAGAGCAAATTCTCCATATTCTCTAAATCATGTGTATTTGTTGCAGAGAAAATATGTGGCTGAATCAGCTAGCACAGTCATGGCATCAGCCATAAGCTCTTAAGATTTATACAGAATTCACTTAAGATTGTTCAGCCTGCAATGAGGAAACCCCATGTGAGAAAATAACATTTTTAATGTGTGTGAACTTAGCTGTAAAAACATTTGCACAACTGAGCTTTATCTTTAAAATCAAACATTAGAGCCACTTCTGTTGGCTGTACTGATAAGTGGTTTAATATTTCCCCTCTTAAACAACAAACAGGCGCTTGCTGTAAACCTGAAAAAGCATTAAATATTAATATGGATATGGTACAAACTATGACTATTTAAAAGTGCTAACATAGTTTAAATCGCTGACAGAATAGTAACAATTTTAAAGTGCCTTATTTTCTAATGTTAGAAACAAAACTGACCATTTATTTAAGGGTATTTTATTAGGCTTTCCTATGGCACAGTGTACATCAACATGTATGATACAAGGACCTCCAAGTTTTATTCAAGGAGACACCCTCAGCTGAGGAACCTTACAGTAAGCTTGAGTTGTAATAAGACAACAGATACCAAGAAGCACATTTTAAATTATGTTTCAGAATGACATTTACAGTATGTGGTCAGTTTGTGTACAGTCCTTCAAATCAAAGGTTTTATGAAGTTGTAAAAACACAGTCTGGTGCTGCTCTATGTTCCTTAAACCAGAAATGTTTAAATCACCAAAAAGGACTGAACATGGTTCCGTGCTGACAGAGGTTACATGTCAAGTGTTGTACCCAGATTACAGCATATACTGGCTCTTTATTTGATCACATTGTTCTACTGACTATTCCCAAAGAGAGTGGGTGAGTGTTAGCAAAGGTTGAGCTACACTTGTCACTATCCCATCCAGAACATGGTTGATATGAATAGACGATGCATAACAGTTATGTACCAAATGCCACTGTATAGAGTACACAATCATTTAACATAGATATAACAAAACAGATCGATCCCAGATAGAAAAAAACAAAACAAAAAAACTGCATTTAAAGTAACACCGTTTTCCATTCACAGTTGATGGGGTGACACGAGCGCTATACAAGTGCAAGTGCGAGTACATGAGAGGCCGTTTCAAAAAAGTGCTTTGTTCATTATCAAGTGACTGTCTATGTTACAGGAAAATCTACAACTTTTACAGAAATGATATGAAAAAAAAAATACAAAACAGAAAATGTATAAACATCATTGTATTTCCTTAACTTGCCAATGGGACATACTGCATGACAGTAGTTTCAGTATTAACATTTTGTATCTTATTTCATCATTATGAGCACATCCTGTAATTACACCTAACTGTTTTTGTAGCAAGAAAAATATACGTTTTTAATATAAAAGATAAAGTTAAACAGCAGCATATTTTGAATCTAACTCAGGGCAAATACGTTGAATGTAGGGACTTTGGTAAGCAAAATGTATTGCTAAGGCATTTGCAGAATTCTTTTCATATATTACAGCAAAATCATATTGACACAGCCTAATAGGTTATGAGAGCTATGCATTTATTTACCTGGCATGGGCCACAGCATCAACTGCATATTTACCATAAGCTGCCAGCTGAACACTTCAGTTTGATTCAGTGATATACATGATGTCTTGTACATAGTCACTTGTCCTCTATGACACAGAGGATCTATGAATACTGTAGTTTTATTGTCATCTTTAATTGTCATATTTAATAGCATGTGTATTATATTTTTTGCTGCACAAATGTTTCAAGCTTTATGATGATTCTTGCAGTACATTCCATCACTCTCATTGCTACCTCAGATGTGTATCTGTCATTGGGAATCTGTGGAAATGGCAGGAGATCGGGGTAGCGAGTTCTCAGGCTGTCCACACCATATCCATCCAGGATCTGAACATCATTTGCAAGGCCTCTTAACTGGGAGTTGTACTCCTCTACTTTTTGAGCCAAAGCAGTTGGTTTTACATCTTTGTCTGACTTTCCCCTGACTGCATAGTCAGCAGCTATCAGTGCAAGCTTTGTGGCTAGGTAGCATTTGAAACAAACCCACTCATTTGCATTTTTATGAAGATCATTGCGAGCAGCAGAGTAGTTTGCTCTAGCTTGCCTCAGCCACCTGCGGGCTTCCACGGGGTTCCCCACTGTCTTGAAGGTAGGGGGCACAAAGAAACGATGAGAGTGTGATGAACCTGCATAGCTTTTATAATGTTCCCTGAACTGTTGCCTTTCTGACTTGTGACTTGTTGCCTCTTGGTTCCACGATGAATAGAACCTCTGAAATGAGAACTTCTCTGATTGGAAGCGGGTCGATGATGTAGAGAAGGGTCTCCTGGAAGCTCTGTCTGTATTCTGCTGATCGGCCAAAGACTGCTTTTCCATTCTGTTGATCTCATTCTGCAAGTGCTTGAAGACTTCCGTGGCAATGTCCAGATTCTCTGCATTTTTGTCTGGATGCCACTTGAGATATAATCGGCGGATTATCTTCTTTCTCTCTGTCTCAGGTAGTGCCCAAGCTTGTTCAACTACTAAGGTCACTTCTTTCAGAATATCTGGCAGTGCATGAAGCTTGATCTTTTTTGGTGATTGTTTTTGAGGGGGAGGTCTCAAGTTTTCCTTTCCAGCAAAAAGAGGATGGACCATTCGTAGAACAGAGGAACGACTGTCTGGACTTGTAGGAGTTGACGGGGCGCTGGTATCTCGTCCTTGGGTATTTTCATCTTGTCTTGAGAATTTGTACAAGTCGAGGGAACTGACGATTTTGTATTCACTGTAACCAATGTCAATCTGGAAGCGTTTGCCAAGGAAACTTGTGTTTTCCTCCTCTTCCTTTTCTACTTCTTGAACAATGATGGCATATGTGTAGGTGGGCTGGTAGGATCCATATATGTCTCCACCCTCTGAGTCTACAAGGTAACCCACATATTCCCCTGGATAGAATACATTCATTGGATCCATGAGAAGTGTGTGATGTATCTCAGCTGGTATGGGGGTTCCTGGGAGGGGTAGCTCAAGTTTTGAAGGCTCTGTTGAGTCATACTTAACGCCAAGGTTGTCCAGCTTCTCTGTGATTCTGTAGATGTCATTGCAGCCGAGCATAGCAATCAGATAGGATGTGTCAGAAATCAAATTGTCTGTAGCAGATTTTAATGTCATAGCAAGTGCCAAGAGAAAATTAATGTCTTTACTATCTGAATGTTGGATGTAAAGGTGAATCACAGCTGCCCCATACCTCTTGAGAAAAGCAGGTGTTTCACTGCGGCTGTGTGGAATAGGACTACATCCTTTCACTCTTAATGTTGTCTGGAGTTTCTCAAAACATGAAACTTTCAATCCTTCACAAAGCGCTTTGCAGAGACGTATGGCTTTTTCCTCATTCACAAGGTATGCATTGTCATTCTCATGTTTCATTATTCTAATCAGCCCTGTGATGAACTGCTCTGATGACAGCAACAGCTGAAGGCGACCCTGAAGTGAGCAAAGAGCCCCGAACTGGCACATTTTTGGAGAATCCTCATCAAGTTGCTCTTCAAGAATGCTACTTAACAGTCTAGGCCTCAGCTTTTGTGGAAGTAGCATGATTAGCTTTGTGTGAAAGGCGTGATCTTTGCCCAGATAACACTGGCTCATATCCACAAGCATCTGAACTCCAACATTGCCCTGAATTCTGCTCTTGTAATGTGGGGCATCATCAAACACCAAGCTACTGGACTTTGCTAATCTACCATCATGGCTTGGCAGATAAAATGTCAAATCTCTGAGACTCTCAAGATCTTTGCGAATTTCCACTGGGTCATTATGGAGAGACTTCAGCAATCCTGAAACAACCCTTTTCACAGTTCTCATTTCATTTGGGTCAAGCTGCTTTCCCTCTGAGCTCCTGTAAATTCGGCACAGAACTTCAACATATTGCTTAGTTGATACCACATCTTCTGTGCCAAGAAGTTTGAACAGTTGATGAAAGGTACCAAGTTCTAGAGGTAATTTGTACAAGTATGGCTTGAGTTCAGATTCATTGTCCAAATTAATGACAACCTCTTCAGGTTTCAGCAACTTCCAGCCATCCTCAACCATGACAAATGCCACCCCATGGAGCTGATAATGGAAATCTCTTTTATCTGCACTGAGAAACTCATAAGTGGATCTTAAAACTTTGTTCCTGGTTTTCACCATTTCGTCATCTGGACTGGATATGTTGCAGATGTTCTTGCAGTTGCTTATGACTTTGTCCAATGGTGGGTCCAAGTTGACGCCTAACATGTTAAGCACTTGGTCAAGTTGTTCCTGTCCAGTGAGAGAACTCTCCTCCTGGTCCTTTATACTTGATGGTGTCGCTTTTTCAGGTAGAATTGGGCATGATGTCCAGAGCAAGTTAATTACATCAGTTTGCTTGAATTTTGGATTTACCTGAGACCCACTGAAACGAATCAGAGGAAGTGTACCACTCATCTCTTGGTACTGCGAATGAAGCTTGATTAGTTCTTTGGGGGCTCTCTCAGGACACAGGAATGGTATCATTGAAAGCTCTTTAAGAAAAGTACCCTGGAACAGGTCCGTCCTCTCTTTGAAAATATGATTCAAGAGAACATCAACAATGGTTTGCACTCTTTCTTTGGTCCAGCTCTCTGTTTGGGCTTTGATGCTGACCTCTTTTGCAAACTGAAGAACCTGCTGCTGGGACACTTCATGCTTGAGACCAATATTTCTCAGAAAGGCTATCCATGAGGTGAGTGAT